TAAGAACTGCTTATTTTATTATATTATATTTCATAATCTTGAACCTCAATTTTTATTAGGAAACTTTTTTTACCAATGTAATATCAAACATAAAATCTGCGTTTAAAGAATGACGTAAGAGTTTGACGTATGTCGAGGAACAATTTTATGGGTGCCTCACTTATGGCTTTATACAAATTTGCATTGTGTATATGGAACGATAAAAATAACTGCGTGCTGCTTTTAAAATATCATAGCTCAATCAATATCAGTCTTTCACGTATGGGGAAAAGTTCTTAAACCTTATACTGTCAGACTTGCATTATTAATGCCGCGTTTGATAACTGTCTGTTTCTCGTTGTATTATTAGCTGCATTGTTTCATTTACGAAGCTACAATATATTGTAACTCTGTTATTTTTATGTTACAGGTATATTCGCGAATCATGACGCTCGCAGATATGAATAGATGAGAAGATTTAATTTAAAACAAGAGAGCGACAGAAAGAGAGAGAGAGAGAGACCGAAGGATATTTCATTGCAGTTATATTGTAATGAATATTCACCGTACTTATTAAAATATGCATAAAATGTAAAACAACTGCATTTCCTAACTACATGTACAAATTATCGTGTAATCCTTTTTTTTCCATATTTTACAGAACTACAAGAATTTATGCCGGTAATATGTCAAGTGTTTCCGAGAACAATGTCTGTATCAGGTAGAAGCTATTACGTTTGCAACGACTAAAAAATAGAGTCAAATCTTAGCGCGAGCGGCATTGTACATATCTCGAGAATGTACCTCTTTATCCCATTCAAGGCGGTAATATCTCAAGTAATTACGCAACACACTTGTACACGTCGTATGCAGCATGACTGAATATAAATAGAGGAATTTACGTGACAGACGTTGATTTTCTTCTATGGCTGCTGAAAATAAACGATGGCGCGCGATCGAAATAGCGACGCCGGCCTTTGCAAAAGGCCTGAATAAACGCCGCATATTTTTCACCGTAATCCCGAAATACCTCCAATGTGAACTTCCGCGTGAACGACCGTATCGTGTATATAACAACATACGAGGGAAATCACGGAACCGCGTGGCTGCCATTAAAAATTCAGCCCCCGGCGTGTAAGTGTGGCGAACCCGTATACGTAACGGCGTTTTCTCTTTCATAAATAATGAAAGACCTAAAAGTGCGTCGTAATTTGTGCGTGATAAGGGTAAGATAGGCCCGACGTATTTCGCAGCGCCCGACAAAAAAATGGTTCATCTATTTTCTTTAGCAGCCGAGGAGTGAGTATTGCGATGGGAAAAGGGGCGAGCGAAATCAAGAAAAACTGCGACAATACGGGACGCGCGCCGAAGTAGAGGCGGGACGATCCAGACAAGTTGCGAAATGAAAAGACGGATTCGAAATGAAAGTCGCTGGTGCGTGCGACGAAAAAATACACGACACAGGGGTTGATCGACGCTTCCGCACCGGTGACGCGCGCCGTGAAACATTTACCCTTTGCTCGGCCGTCACCCTCTTTTCTCTTGTCGTCGCTGCCGCGGGTAACGAAGACCGTGTCGCACGGACTGCGTTAGTATCGGGGTATCACGGGCGAGGGGGATGAATAGCATGCTAGAGAACCGTGATCGATATCGCCGCTCTCGATTGAGAAATAGAAGACCTCCTCTCTCTCTCTTTCTCCGTGCTCATAACACGCAAACATTTATTACGAGTTATGCGATAGAAAGATATGCATCGATGAAGAAACCACCGATGAAGAATAGATAAAAAAATATCGAGAGAATTGAGAAAATCTCGTCTGACTGACATGTGTCGAAGAGAATATCGATGATGAAGACAATTGACATTTGATAGTTTAATTTCAATTTTTATATACGCCGGAAGCTTCTTCCCTTCTATATTCGGGATTTCTATATTCTCGCTAGAGATCTCATTCAAACTACATATTACTGAAGTTTGTTATAATATGCTAATTTTCAAGCAATTTTTCATTTAAACGCGTTCTATGAAATTTTTATTCGAACAAAAATGAAATAGACCTTTAGCTGAGCTGCATAATGTCTTGTGTGTTTTGGATCTGCATTATTCATCATTTGCAACATAATCGATAAAGCGATACGAGTGTACGTAAAAGCAGTTAATAAGCAATAAAAGCTACAGCGCAAGATAAAACAGACGATGCTCGTACGTAACGTAAATCGCGTTGAAAATTCAACTCGCTTATAGAAAGTTCTTCTACTTCACCTTTATTTTTCTTATGCCTTGCCTGAAGGAAGAAAGAGAAAAAGAGAGAGAGAGAAAAGGAAAGACTATCCTCCAGGCAAGATATCGCATTTTATCTAGCGCAGCTGTGTGTGGATCCCAGATTCAAAACTTTCCATATCGCATTATATACATGTATATACGCAGCGTAAGGCAGACATAGCGATGCTCGTCTACACGCGCAAAGAAGCGCATGCACCAATACAGATAAATATTTCATTACGTGTGTTTATGTGCACGTCGATATGCAACGACGATATGTATATACACGTACGCAGCTCGCGGCGAACACGATTCGGCGCGACGCTTTCCATATCTGCGCCTCGCAATCTCCGACAACAAAATTTGCCTGCTGCCGTCGGCCGCAACACACAAGTGGACGTTGTGCGGCCGGCGTGGGCGACCCCTCCGCCCCCTCCCCCCCAGCCCTCGGGCGCCGGTATCGATTATGAAATTGCACCAGATAAAGCAAACGAGAGACCGCCGCGACGGGCTTGGCCGGTGGTGGTTCGCCCGCGTTCCCCTGCGCGCCGATGTTGGTTGCTTTTCCGATTATATCGGCCGATGCTCTATCCCTCTAGAACGCACGCGAGAACGAAACCTCCGTCGCTCGCCACTTCACGAAGGTGCACCTTGCATGTTTACCCCCGTGTCCGACCGTGTTCTACATCGCACCGTCTTCCTCCCTCTCACTGAGGCACAAAAGCCTCCCTTCTATCGCTATTCGTCTCTATCAATGCGATAGCTATGCTCTAAACAACAATATGCTCCCTCATGTGCATCGTGTCACGCGGCTGCGCCATTGTAATTCCCGATAGTCGCTAAAGCCTGCGGAAGCAGGCATCGGATCGCATTACTTCGTCATTATTATTTGATCAACCGCGGAAGAATCGAGAGATAACAGAAGAGAATATATATATATATAGACGACTTCCATCCCTTTCTCTCTCTTGCTCTCTCTCTCTTTTCTCTGTCTGTCAGAATCTCTTCCTTCGAGATCCACATACGGTTTAAGTTCTCTTTTCGTCACGAGCCAAAGTTTCGAACGTCTGCATCGCTCGACTCCTATAACGGACTTGGCTGGACTATTAACGTATAATGAATGCGCATATCATGAATGAGGTAAATTTCGCAATACACCGTGTCCCCGATAGCAGATTCATTAAACTTTTCAAGCGCGCTTATCACGGTATGATTTTCGCGGAACGGAAACATGAGATTTCGCGCGCTGTTGCAAATAGACACAAAATTGTATCGTCCTGTATAGATTCGTTATAGTTTATACATACAGTTGCGTCGCGTTATGTACATACAGTTGCGCGACTACTAGATAGCTACATTGTACTATGGACAACGTTAATATTTATTTAACAAGTTATCCGAATATCGGTGCCTTGCACCACTGTGAAGCTTACACGCTTACATGTTAACAATTCATATTGGCATGTATTAACAATATGTAACCGTGCAAAATTACATACCGCACTGTTACGGTATTCTAGCGCTAGATAAACGGTTATTCTCGGCACTTCATCTTTGCCTATTCACCATCACGTTCTTGTTATTATGAACTGATATCGCGCTCGCTCGGCGATTTTAATTCCAAACATAATTTAAGAGATTTTAAAATTCTTATATACGAATCTATAAAAATCTATATCGCACCTGCGGTATAATTGAATAACAGAAGGTAGCAACACACTTACGGGAATAACCACTTTCACAATATTCCGCGTCGATGTGACGTTGATCTCTACCATATATACCGGGAGAGAAATGGTTTTAAAATATTCGCGGTACTCGTATAATAGCATAAAAACTACTTGGACTTCACGATGAGTGCAGGAATCTGCATTTCTAATTTTTATACCGACATTCACGAAATAACATCGCCGACGATGTAGTAAAAGCGGGATTTGTGGAATCTTCGTCGCGGAATTATAACGCCGGGAATTTTTTGAAAAATTCGAACGGTACGGAATTACAACAAGATCTAGGACAGTTTTTTTCAGGGAAAAATGTCGAAATATTTTCTCCCGGCAAACGCTTGCGGCGGAAGGATTGTTGCAAAAATGAAAAAGTCCCGAAGAGCTTCGTAAATAAAATACAATTTACGAATTCTTTCAAAATTCTCGATGACGAGTAACCGCATGGAACTTTGGCAGACGGTTTTGTGGAATTAAAGCAAACATGCGAATTTATCACCGGTTTTTCGTTTAAAAATACGGAAATAAAGTGCTCTCTCTCTTCAAATTCACGGAGTACAACCATTTAACGTTCCTTCCTCACGAAAGAGGTAAAGATTTGCGCTTTGCAGATAAAAAGGGCCGCGAAATAGCGAACTTGCGACTCGTTCAGGAGTACGATATTGATCGACTCCGGCAACTGGGTGCCATTAGCCGTATACTTTTTGCCTAATAGTATGAAATATTACGGCCGAGAACTCTGAAGAAAGCTTACGTTCGTAACCTACTTTTAGATCGCGCTAGGGTAAAATCTTTTTTCCAGAATCAGGTCGGCGCACATAAAAGACGTTGCGAAATGCAGTGCATGCAAGTAGGTCAGACATTTACGCGAACGAGCTTCATTCCGAAATAAATCAATTATCTTGTAATTATCTATCGAGAATAAGCGTTCGCGATTGCTCGAGTAGATTTGTAATTACTTGGTCAATCATAAATAAAGTCTTCATAACTTTTTCGCCGATTAAGTGTTTGAGAGAAAAATGATTTGTACTCACTTTATTCGATTATAAACTAGCAACTCAGCTATCTCTCGGCCTAGTCTGGAATATAGAGTTTCTACGAAGACCAACACCTTCGGGTCTATCCTTAATCGAGCCTCGCTACGATGGTCTGGTGCCGATGGCAGTCTGGTCGCCCCTCTTAGAGTAGAGCATCGTATTGCTGGCTCCGGTCTTGTGTCTCGGTGTATCAAACTGCAACAACAAAAATTATTTGTCGGTAAAAACTGTTCGTTAAAACATTAATTATAACAGAAATTATCTGCACGCATTATTCAATGCACAACATTAACATTGTAATTTTCTAACGATATTATGTGAGTTTTAAAAATTTAAAGAATTTCCGCGGTGTTAGTTCAAAAGGATGCGTCATCATACGTTATATAACGCGTTTTCTTGAACCATCTCGTCCCTCAAAAGCTTTACATATTTATGAGATATTTTCTTGTTATAGCATGAGTCTCGCGTTACTTCATCTCGCGTTACAGTTTTCACGGTAATACTAAATGTTCAAAGAGCGGGGGGAAAGAACGTTTCGATTGGCCTCGGGTAGGAGCGGAATTCTTCCGCCAAATTCTTCGTAACGAAACCCCCGTAACGAGCAGCCGCTCGAAGAATGCATGGCAGCTCTTTCAACCAGTCCTCAAAGTTCCTCTTTCAGCGTAGACGAATACAGTGCGCTCGGTATATCCGTGAGAACACGGATGTAACAGCGACGCGGGAATTTCGGGATGTATGCGTAGTTCCACAAAGGACCCTTTAGCGCCGTTGCAACGAGCCCTTCCGGACAGCCATTAGCATCGAGCATTCTACGAGTCTCCTGGCGTTTACCGCGCATAAGCTACACCATCACCGTGACACAGAAATAAGGGTAATTTTTTCTTTTTTGTATTTTAACATTATTGTCAGTATCTTCTTTCGAACTGTCAAGGATTGGAAATTTTGAAACTCAATATTTTTCAAAGAAGATATTTGATATTATTGATTTTCAAGAAAATGTGTTTCCAGAAAATATCAATTTTTATTTCGTCAGCGTAAGAATTTCCTTCAAAAATCAAACTCTTCTTCTACATTTTACGTTATATCTTTTATTTGATATAAATTAAATAAAAATTTTATAATAATATTTAAAATAATGTAACAATAATAATTTATTTCCTCCTACTCTATGTATGGATTGGAATTGCAGATATGTTCGTTGTTAAATTTTATGTGATATTTGTATTTATATTATATATTGTACAATTAGGAGATATACCCCCCATCGGTGCATGCACCGAATTAGTGCACACAACAGCCGAGTTTCTCGCCCATCGAAAATCGGACCTTTGAAGCAGGACAAATCGGGTCTGATCGACGTTCAAACACGCGGGAACATTTTCATAATGCAACAACAACAACAACTATTATATGAATCTGTCAAATTATTAATTGCAACTCCAACACGATTAATCGTTCTCGTAATTGCAACCTATATGCACCATAACATCCATTGACGCGTAAAAACGTTTCGTGCAGCGTGTCGAATTACATCAAAATAGATATGAATATTCTGAGCACATACTAATTAACGGCATTGTGTATCGAGTTGATTATTAATTTCTAAATTAGCAGATGTAAAGAGATTTTGATAAGCTGCTAAATATTTCAAGTCAAAGTGTGGGAAAATATTTTTTAAAATAGAAAATAAATATTTCGCGCTATATTTTAAATCTGGCATAAAATCTCTCTTTTAAAATATATAAACGTAAAAGTCTCTAAGCTCACAGAAAAAAATCATGAATAAGATTGGAGAAGAAAAGGTTTGAGAACTCTTGGTTTAGATGGAAGCGAAACAGATTATCGAGGATGCACTTGCACTTTGCAGCTCTTATCACCCGTAATTTACAATTTATGCACATTAGACGCGTCAATAAACGCATGCACGAGCAAGTGGAGTTTTGCTCGAACTAACATTTACTTTCGTAGTGCTGCTCGTTGTTATGTAGTGTTTGATGTAAACTAAACTCTGAGCAAATATTTTCCGCATAACATGATCATAGGTACAAACGAAAATGTTATACTATATGCTATGAAGATCTCTGATGTGTGTAACGATAATTCGTTGCAAAATGCAGTTTCTCAAGTTACAGAAGATGAAAAACGTCTGCAGAGTTTCCTCGAAATTATGTTATCTGTTTACATTCCAGATAACTTACCAAAGCACGTTTACGATCGATTTCCGCTTATCAAAATTTCTCATTTCACCCTCACCGCATGTTTCGCAATCGCTTTCATAAAGATATGGAAATTCTCGTAGGAAACAGAGGTATCGATCGCGATATGCGCCGTATGCGTATGCATACTCGGCGGTGCATCGAATAGCTTCTCTGCATTTCATGCGCGGGTTATCGATGCAATATTCTTGACATTCGCGTGCACCAAAGTCGTTTATCCGTGCATCATTCGTAAGAATCTCCAATCCTACTCACAGTCGAGAATGTGAAAGTGTATATGTGTGTATGGTATCTAAAAGGTCAAAACTTCTTTTCTGTTCCATTAGATATGACATTTAAATGTGACTTTAAATAGGACTTTTCTATTTTTTTCCCTTATTCAAACCTGTCTTTATAAGAATATTTTAAATAGTATTTTACTTTAAAAAATTCAACAAGCATATTCGTATCTCATAAAAATTACAAGTAGAATTTTTGTTAAAAAATTTTAATATTATTTGTATTAAAACTGCATCATTATTAAAAATAAATAAGTATTCACATAATTAGTAAGAATTAAATACGGTGTTAAAATTAATATGGAAAAAACACGATCAGTGTCTGGATTTCACAAAACTTTATAATCTAAAAAAAATGGAAAGAATCGCTTTTATATCGGATATCGTAACGGTCAATGCGATCACGAGTCTCGCGCAAAATGGATCTCAATGTTGCCGACAAGTAACGACGTTGTATATCGACGTACATAAAATGTGGCAGTTACATGTACAGCTCATAGATTCGCACGTGCGTGTCCGTACAGAAGCTTTCAAGTACGTTGGTAATCTGGGACGGGAGAGATACGATGCATCATCCTATCGCGCATCAGCCGTGGCCGCAAGTAAGCCTATTAGTGCACGGGGTTATTAGAGGATACCATCTGACCCAAATTCCGGGTCCCTATCGGTTACAGGCGTACCGACGTGCGTAGGCACCCTTAATATGAATTTACGCTCTCGGCTTAAGTACACGCGCGCCGCTAAATTACCTCGACTTCTGAGCATGGGATCTGTCATATAGCTGTTCAGAAACGTATCCAATAGCGTTCCCGTTCAACCATTATCCTATCATGAACGTGATTGACTTGAGAACGATCGGCGATACATCGCGAGCGAACGGAAAGTCAATTCGAGCAAGTCGATCTATACGTGTCATGATTTCATATCGTACGAAAGATCGTTCCTGCTTTCGTCGTGTAACGAAAGAATCCCTGATAACGCTTAAAATAAAAAAATAATATTGCTGTTGCAAAATGAAAAACTGCTGTTCAATATATCATTGTTTCGCGTAATATAAGTCTCTAAGTTCGAGAAAACATGCGGATGTCCCGATAAGTACTTTGCAAAAAAATAGCATACGTCTCTGAGTGTATACGTGTATTTATTTGCATCAAAAAGGCCACTGATTTCGCATGCACAGTCGTACTTTCCTCAGCATCGGATACACTTCGGTAGCTTTATGCAAAATAGAGCAGTCGTAATTGCAAAAAAATTTACGGGACATTAACTGTCATGTAAAAAAGTTACAATATTGAAAAAAAGTTATCGCGTACAGATGCTAGTAGAATTTATCGCGCTTCGCGCGCGAATTATCAGAGTTGACGATGTCATTTAATGCCAGATTGAACTTTTTTACTTTCCGCCAATCCTCCATAACTCGCACTAAATGTAATATTACGAGACGTCAAGGACGAGTCGTCGCAGGAGGGCTACTTTTCACAAATCAAGCCGCACCGCCAGCTTCTTCCCATTTTGCGGGATTTTCGTGTGGGTGACGAAAAAAAAAAAGGGCTCATAACGACAGTTTCAGCGCCGTCTGGCGTTAATAAACGCCACGGGAAAGAGAGAGAGAGAAGAGATGCGCTCTTCTTAAAAAGCAATTTTAGATTACAGCCGCCATTGTCGGTTATCGACAGCCGATTAAATTACAACAGAGAATTGCTCTCGACACAAGGGAGCGGTAACGGAGCGAAGGGAACTCGAATTACTACGTCGTATAACGGCTCGTCATGTCGTACTTTTCGCGCGGATAATCGAGTTACCTCCGATGCGTCTTTATGATCCCCTTTGGCTTTTCGTCCCCTTATTGCCTGGCAGTGACAGGCGGAGTCGCCGGCACTTTTCGTGTCTTACCGTGCCGGAATCGTCTGTCTGTCTTTTGTGCGGAGCTTTTATAAGACATCTTCGCCCGGGAAAAATTATAAAGAAAACGACAAACGCTTAAAATCATGTTAAAATTGAATTTTTGGGAACAACAATCAAGATGATATTCATAGAAATTATTTCTACACATTGTTAAATATCCACAGAGCTCTTTCTTTGTTTCAAGATTTTTCTTTTTCTTTTTTTTTGCATAACATCCTGTGCTGCTTATGTTGCAGCCATTAATGCACGTTTTCCATTACGTTGAATCGATGGAATTAACGTACCTACTCGAGAAGCACAATGCGCTAGTAGATTAGGTATGTGGCGTCGGGAAAAGCTATTATATGACGTGCTTTTCTCTATGAACAGAAGATACAATGCGGCGTGTTGGCGGACGCGCCTTAATATTCAAATGCACTGGTAAAGCCGGGCGCGTAGTAGCTCCTTCCGCGCGCATACTTTCTCGTTAGAGCGTCGAGAATCCCTCGGACAGAATGGCGATGCTAATGAATCATAATCGGTACTTTCCGCGCGAAATGCTTTAGCCAGGTTAACCTGAGTAGACGCGCCTATATGCAGTGCTGCACGAACGCCGCCACAGCTGTTGCGCGTAACTGTACGGTGGCCCAGCGGCGTCTGCGAGCGGTCGTTCGCTAGCGTCAATTGGTTAAATGACTAACGAATTCATTTTCCCGTTCGTTAACCTTGGCTGCATCTTCCTCGCTTTCCGTATTTGTTTCTCTCTCTTTCACTCTTTTTTTCTCGCTCTTCTCCCTTTGAGTGACCTCTGCTAGAA